CCAGATATAAGATAAACCTATTAAATTAATCCACCTACATACAGTAGAGACTGATTTCAGACAAAATCGTTCGGTACAGTCGAGTGACATCGAAACGTGACTTTATCTTCGGAGATATTCTCACGATGTTATAAAGGGTTTAAAGGGCAACTGGGTAGAACAAAATTGTAATTTAAACTCCAATTTCAACAAGATCCCAACATTATTAGGTCCTTTGTTCTGCAGTCGATTTTTCTTTCCTTTTTTATTTCTCTTTTCTTGCTTTTAATTTGCATGAAATTTGAAAATTCCTCTAGTTAAACACAATATGTTCATCTGTTGGCTATTTGTTGTTGTTTTTTTTTATGTTTTGTGTTTTTTTTGTTTTCTGATCAGTCAAACATTCTGAAAGTTATAACTAGGGAACACGAGGAACCTACATATTGAATTTGATAAAGATCCATCCAATACTTGTGAAGAACTAAAGATAACAAACTTTCTTTGTCAGAATCCAAGATGGCCGCTTGACAGCCATTTAGTTTCTTTGATCAGTCCAAAATCAAAATGGCACAACTAGGGACAAGTGAAAACTAGATATGAAATTTAAGTAATATCCATTAAGTACTTCTTAAGAAATAGCAACAACAACTTTCATCGTCAAAATCCAACATATTCACCTGTCTGCCATTTTTTTTATCACTCCCAAAATTAAAATTAGGGACCAAGGAACACCTACATATGAAATTAAAAAAGAAAAAATATCCATCCAGGATTTCTCAAGAAATTGCGATAACAAGAATTATTTACGGACTGATGAACAGACGGACAGCCTGACTACTGACCACAGACATAAGGCGAAATAAATAGTTCAACGGTGGAATGATAAAAACAATAAAACAGACTTTTGAAACGACTTGGATTTTTTTTCAGGAATTTCGAATGGTGGGAATTTTCATTGTCAGCAAGGCTGTCCGTATATACATAAGAGCTTATATCTACGATCGTAAAGCAGAGTTCTTATTAGAAATAGCAAATTCTGCTGGATTATTAGAAATAATTACCCTTCCGGAACACCTGTTCTTATCCTTTTTGTGCACATTTTAATAACAGTTTTATATTAGAAGAGTTATTAAGTTTTAAGTCTATGCGGTAGCATCAATTTTTTGTTTTTGTTTTTTTGACCGAATTTTTCTCTCGGCGACAAACCGTTTCGTCAAGCAATCTGCTTATCAATGTTTTTTAATGATATTTTATCACATCGTAATGATAATGTATATTATCGCCATACTAGCGCTTGTCCGTGCCTAATGTTAGTCACGTGATATGGTTTAGGGTAACAACAGATATGATAAAAGACAGTAATTCAAAACACATGTTCAATATAAGTTTAACGTGAAAACTTGAGACCTAAATGCTTAAATCATTATATCAACATACGCTTCCATATCACAACCAATGGAATATCGACCGGATTATGGACGCCGGAACAGAAACATGGGGATAATTCGGAGAGACAATAGGTCATCCCCATGGAAACAAACTTTTGTTACACCGACTCACATAATGTACAGTATTTCTAATACTTGTACGCTTCGCCATTAGAACACTATGGCGCCGCTTTGAACTGGCGGTATCTCTTCAATGCGAGGTACGTCCATATTAGTGATCCTGATATAGGCAAATAACAGTCACCAGAATCGTAATACAGACTCAAGGCGCTGAGACGAGGCCAAACTCAAGGCGCTGAGACGAGGCCAAACTCAAGGCGCTGAGACGAGGCCAAACTCAAGGCGCTGAGACGAGGCCAAACTCAAGGCGCTGAGACGAGGCCAAACTCAAGGCGCTGAGACGAGGCCAAACTCAAGGCGCTGAGATGAGGGCAAACTACGAATAAAATAATTAAAAAAAAAGATTTTGGAAAGAGAACAAGGAGAATAACACCATGTGTTCCGGTCGTGTAAGAACTCTTCAGTTTCATGAATCTCCCTTAATTGCCATTAATTGAAGTGTTCTTTTTAAACTTTCATAACGGTTATAGATATTTCCTGAAGTTAAGGAATATTCGTGAAATTGTAGCCAGCTAAGTACACGTAAAACATTGACAATATAAAATTAGTAATGTTTTGTTCTCAAATGACAACTAAGGGGACAATCTGGCAGGCATCGGCCATGTTTTTTTTCCATATCGAACAAAAAGTTCGAATATTTGCAAATAAGACCTCAAAACCTTCCCATATCAGGCACAACCTGTGTCGCGCAAAATCTTTGATTTTATCTGTCAGCTGTCAATATCTTGGCCAGAATTTGTGATATTTCGAACAAGTAATTGAAAGTCGAATCAGATTGGAGAGGCAGGATGTAACTATATAGAAAAGGGAAAAATACAATAGGAAAATCAAAACCATAGCGTAAAAGAATTTGGTTGAAAGACTATCCATATTGGTTTCGTTGCAGGAATAGATCGAGGTAAGCCGCTGATTTAGGTTTGTATATACTACGGATGTGACCAAGACATTTCTGATCATTAAAAGACAAGATATTTGCAATGTTTCTTAAAGAGTTATCTTACATATTGATGTCTTGAAATATTGCATTTAAACCCAAATTTATGTGCGATGTCCTGTCTCCTTCATGCTCCACGTTTACCTTTGACATTCAGAGAATTTTCCTCCTGTCTCCTTCATGCTCCACGTTTATCATTGACATGTAGAGAATTTCCGTCCTGTCTCCTTCATGCTCCACGTTCATCATTGGCATATAGAGAATTTCCCTCCTGTCTCCTTCATGCTCCACGTTTATCTATGACATATAGAGAATTCTCTCCTGTCTCCTTCATGCTCCACGTTTATCTGACATGTAGAGAATTTCCCTCCTGTCTCCTTCATGCTCCACGTTTATCTTTGACATATAGAGAATTCCCTCCTGTCTCCTTCATGCTCCACGTTTATCTTTGACATAGACAGAATTTACCAGCTGTCTCCTTCATGCTCCACGTTTATCTTTGACATGTAGAGAATTTCCCTCCTGTCTCCTTCATGCTCCACGTTTATCTTTGACATATAGAGAATTCCCTCCTGTCTCCTTCATGCTCCACGTTTATCTTTGACATATTGAGAATTCTCTCCTGTCTCCTTCATGGATCACGTTTATCTTTGACATGTAGAGAATTTCCCTCCTGTCTCCTTCATGCTCCACGTTTATCTTTGACATATAGAGAATTTCCATCCTGTCTCCTTCATGCTCCACGTTTATCTTTGACATATAGAGTATTTCCCTCCCGTCTCCTTCATGCTCCACGTTTATCATTGACATGTAGAGTATTTCCCTCCTGTCTCCTTCATGCTCCACGTTTACCTTTGACATGTAGAGAATTTCCCTCCCGTCTCCTTCATGCTCCACGTTTATCATTGACATATAGAGAATTTCCCTCCTGTCTCCTTCATGCTCCACGTTTATCATTGACATGTAGAGAATTTCCCTCCCGTCTCCTTCATGCTTCACGTTTATCATTGACATGTAGAGTATTTCCCTCCTGTCTCCTTCATACTCCACGTTTATCATTGACATGTAGAGAATTTCCGTCCTGTCTCCTTCATGCTCCACGTTTATCATTGGCATATAGAGAATTTCCCTCCTGTCTCCTTCATGCTCCACGTTTATCTATGACATATAGAGAATTCTCTCCTGTCTCCTTCATGCTCCACGTTTATCTTTGACACGTAGAGAATTTCCCTCCTGTCTCCTTCATGCTCCACGTTTATCTTTGACATATAGAGAATTCCCTCCAGTCTCCTTCATGCTCCACGTTTATCCTTGACATGTAGAGAATTTCCCTCCCGTCTCCTTCATACTCCACGTTTATCATTGACATCTAGAGAATTTCCATTCTGTCTCCTTCATGCTCCACGTTTATCTTTGACATATAGAGAATTTCCGTCCTGTCTCCTTCATGCTCCACGTTTATCTTTGACATGTAGAGAATTTCCCTCCTGTCTCCTTCATGCTCCACGTTTACCTTTGACATGTAGAGAATTTTTCGTTTGTCTCCTTCATGCTCCACGTTTATCTTTGACATATAGAGAATTCCCTCCTGTCTCCTTCATGCTCCACGTTTATCTTTGACATGTAGAGAATTTCCCTCCCGTCTTCTTCATACTCCACGTTTATCATTGACATCTAGAGAATTTCCATCCTGTCTCCTTCATGCTCCACGTTTATCTTTGACATATAGAGAATTTCCGTCCTGTCTCCTTCATGCTCCACGTTTATCTTTGACATGTAGAGAATTTCCCTCCTGTCTCCTTCATGCTCCACGTTTACCTTTGACATGTAGAGAATTTTTCGTTTGTCTCCTCCATGCTCCACGTTTATCTTTGACATATAGAGAATTCCCTCCTGTCTCCTTCATGCTCCACGTTTATCTTTGACATGTAGAGAATTTCCCTCCCGTCTTCTTCATACTCCACGTTTATCATTGACATCTAGAGAATTCCCTCTTGTCTCCTTCATGCTCCACGTTTATCTTTGACATGTAGAGAATTTCCCTCCTGTCTCCTTCATGCTCCACGTTTATCTTTGACATGTAGAGAATTTCCTCCTGTCTCCTTCATGCTCCACGTTTATCTTTGACATATAGAGAATTTCCCTCCTGTCTCCTTCATGCTCCACGTTTATCTTTGACATGTAGAGAATTTCCCTCCTGTCTCCTTCATGCTCCACGTTTATCTTTGACATGTAGAGAATTTCCCTCCTGTCTCCTTCATGCTCCACGTTTATCTTTGACATATAGAGAATTTTCCTCCCGTCTCCTTCATGCTCCACGTATATCATGGACATGTATAGAATTTCCCTTCAATTTTATCATATTTTTGTCAGCAAGAAATATCGTTCTAAGTTGATGGTCACTGTACTTATCTCAATTAAACCCCCGACATAATTAGGGTGTTAATTATATAGCCGATATAACACTGTATATAAGGAGTTAAAAACGCGCTGCAAATAGACCGGTAGTAGAGGAGTAACCAGGACACGTCGGCATGGCTTCCACCACTCCGGTAAGTAATCAACAACTATTTTATCATACGTGTATATAAAACACTCTCTTTCATTCCGAGGTATAAATAATTGCAAATTGATTACAAGGAATAAGACGAAGGATACTGTAAGTAGTATAAATGCTGAAGGGGAGATTTTATGTGTTTTTTTGAAAACGTTCGGATTTTGAAAGAGGACATAGAGATTTCCGGAGGTCTTGGTATCGCTTTCATGCATTCTTAACTCGCATACAATGGTAAGCCTGTCTGTTTAATTTAGCTGAACTTCTCAAACCTTTAGATGTAGAAAACAGTAGCTATCATTCATTGTTAAATGTTATATATATAGTAAGTAAGATAGTACATTTAAGTAATTTTCCAACAACATATATATGCACATCTGTGATGCGGTTGGCGCAGTAATATACAAATCCTTGTCACAACGACTGGTATAAATCACTGCGCACAAACTTTTGTTTCGTAATGCTACCACTGTGTGCATAACGTTTTTGAGATTTTTTTTATAACAGATTGTTATTTCATTATATTTATTGCTTTCTTAATCAAACGAAGAAATGAACGATGTGTTTTAAACTATTTATGGAACTATTTAGTTTACCGTCTGCATTATGTCTGTTACCTCTAAAAGCAACCCAAGTATTTTTGTGAACGAAAGAAGCTGTTCAAACAAACCGATGTTTCAACATGCGTGTATACGTTTTTGTTTTGTTTTTGTTTTTGTTTTGTTTTTTATTATTATTTTCCTTTAAGGATGTGCTCCTCTGATGTTTTGACCGGAAGGAAAACATAATTCAATATAAAATGAATTCAACCATAATATCTTGGACTTTTGTCTTGATAAATACTTTGTCATCTATATTTGTATTCATAAGATGAAAACAATTGATTTTTATCACGTTTTGTTCGTGGACTACTTTTTTGACGGAGTAGTTGACGGTGTCAAGCGGTTAATAGTGTCGATGATTTCAACATTTTCTGGTTGTTAAGGAACCTCCTCGAGTATAACTCATTCTTGAAGTCATGGGTAGATTTCAACCAAATTTTGCATGAATTATCGCCACATTTTCAAATTCGTAAATTCCGACTTGGTGAGTGACCACTTTCCCGGATATTTAGAACCCGGAAATAAATATTTCAGCAGATTTCTTGATCTTGGAAAAAACTTGCAAAAAACAAAGTACATGGACCCCTTACTTTTTAATCATGGAAAGTATCGTCGATTTTTTTTCTATCGAAACTTCGTCTTAAAAAGTTTTTAATGCTAGAAGATGGTAAAACAAAGGATTTATGTCATTTTGGAACATTTTTTGGTTACTATGAAGATTAAAGCTCGTTAAATCAAATTAAAACTTAGCATTTTCACAGTATCATACCCTTACTGTGTAATGAAAACTAGATATTATTTCAAAAAAAAAAAAAAAAAAAAAATATTTTCGCTATAATAACAAAAATATATGTTATTCTGAAAACAAATAAGATTTATGCGGGAAAATGAATTACTTCATGTTATGCACATTTTCCGTCGGTACCGGGAAAAGCAGTGAAGCAATATATTAATTTTCATGTTTTTTTTTTAACATTTAATTTCTAATTTTGTACTATTCAAAGTAGTACATCATTAATGAAAAAAAAATATCAAAAAAATACTATCGGAAAGTAAAATGGAAATCTATATAATGATTGTCAGAGTGTTGTATTTGTTGTTGTGTGATTTACATACTTAACATATTTATCTAAATATTCAACCAATTAAATTTCTACCATTTCAGTCCATGACGGTGGTCAGTTATAACACCACTACCTGGCAAAGTAACAGCACTCAGAGTACGTATACAAGGAACCCAAACGAAATCCTAGAGTTGAATTTGCGTTTCATCCCACTCACCGTCGTTTCTATTCCTGCTAACCTCGGCATCATTATCCTTATCTTGTATCACAAGACTTTGAGAACCCAAACCTTTTTCCTGGGAGTTCTTAGCCTAAGTGTATTTGACTTGTGTTTCAGCGTGTTTGCCCTACCAATGTTACTGGACTCCCTTATAACGTGGGGAGAATGGCGTCATGGTTACCTTGCATGTCTGATCTACATCGTGATATTAAACAGCAAGATCTTTATGACTGCTTTCATGGTAGGTGCACTGTGCATTGAACGTGTGATTGTAAAACTACGATTGGTCGCGCTGATTGGTGAGAAAACAGCAACAACTCTATCAAGGGTGACGATAGTGATTCCCTGGTGTCTTTGGCTTCTGGGTGCGGTGCTCATCGTTCTGGCCAAACAGGGTGATATGACAAAAAACAGGTATATTCACGAGACATATTGTGTGTTCTTGGTGGACCATACCTTTCATATTCCATTCATACTCATAGCGTACCATATTCCACTCTACCTGCTGGTACTAATAACTATAACAACGATGGTTATTTACAAGTTCTGGAAGTCAGACTGGAATCGTTTATCAGCGGAGATCGTGGAACCGGAAGTTGCAAGTTTGTTCATGTCCACACTGTGTGTATGGATCACGAGTTTTGTTTTTGCGATCTTTAACACACCTTGGCTAATCTGGATAACGAGGATAGTGATCTGTATACGCCGTATGACCGAATGTCCGTCCATTGATAGCTACTTTAATAACTATTTCGTTTCTCTTATACCGACGGCTGTTCTGCCTTTCATTTGGCTCATCACCGTTGACATCCGAGTCGTGCTGTCATCAGTTAAAAATCGTGTGATGACAAAGATAACATCCTCAGGTGGTCAGAAAAATGCGTTGTCTTTCTCCTCTCTCAGTCATAAAATGTCTTCCTCGGAAGATTCAGCCGTCCAACACTAAATGTATTTTGAAATGAAGAAGTGATCGCCAATTATACTTGCTTCAATTGATGGCCTATGAATGACGCGGATGACACATCCAAATTATTCTTCAAGTTGTACATATGGAAAGCTGGGAGACTTAGAACGGAAAACATTCTTTTATCATGTCATCAGTGTAATAACACCAATTACATAACTAATATCGTTACACGTGTTGCATGATCTTGCAGCACTTCTACTGTGACTTTTAACTTTATGACGTCATGTTATTGTGCTGTCAACAAGGGCAGAGTTATAGAGGGAGGTTATCGTCAATTTAGAGTTTGTATCAGTCTCGTAGAATGGGTTTTATCATCAATGTTTTCAAAAGTATTTAAGCTATGTGGTAAAAAGATTCTTACATTGGTTTCGGTTTTACTGGATAAATAAATATAGTAATTTTTTTCTCCTTTTACCTCGCGTCAGAGATTCAGTGAAATCAAAAGCAATATAAGATTTGTTTTAAAAAATTCACGAGAATTGAATGGGACCTTATATACGATCCGGTATTTATCTTGAATTACGTTTCACATTTTAAATTATAATGTAAAACGTGTAATGTAATTCAATACTGTATCAATAGGTCTTTTGAGACAAAATCTGTTAGAACTGTATCAGGAATCGGTTATATCTGCTGTAGGACTTCATTGTATGCCGTGTCTGTTATTTGTTTGTTTTTATGTATAGCGCCACATGGTGGCTAGATAGATAGGTTTCCGTGAGCATTTTGCTGACCTTGGATCAGGAACTGGTCAGGGCTGGTGACCCAATGTGGTGCAACACCTTCTGGTAAGTCTTTAAACTTGTATTTTGGCTTGGGTCAAAAAAAAAATCTTCAGCGTTAAGCGTCATCTGTTTTATTCCCGACACAATTTTTTTTTCTAAATTTTCGCCGTCTTATCTCTTATATTCTTATAATATCCGTCGTCTATCTGTAACAATGTCACGTGTGCGGTGCCTATAATACCCGCGTCGTTGTTGTCTACATGCCTTCGTGTCGTCTATATACTTGGAGAAGTGTGACAACGAGTGTGGTGTATTAATATTTCTACAAGCCTTGTATCGTCCTGTACATGATATTGATTAATAAACATATGAACCTTTTCTTGTATTTGGTTGTCCTGTCATAAACTTTTAAAGCGACTATAATGTTTAAAAAATAAACACTACAAGAAAACGATATAAAACGTTCTATTTTCCAATAGTATGTTACAAAACTAAGACTTCCTGTTAATTACTAAAAGTCACGTGACAAGCCATGTGACCCACTCGGCTTTCTTCGTAATAAACCGAGCGTGAACATGTTTATAAACAATAGTTACGAAAAACAATGTTAAGACGTCGAAAATATGTACAAAAACAACACATTTAACGTTATAGGCGCGTGTATCGCTTTATTATGAATATATTGTATTATGTAGGCAGATTATGAACCCCATCTAAGACTTGTTCGGTCTATTTGATTGATAAATTGTTAACTACATTGTAAATAACAAATGTCGTTTACTATAATAAACGGCCATATTCAATTCACAGCTTGTGTTCTAGTTGTTGTTTCTATGACTGTCTTACTAGCTTGTCATGGTGAAGGTCCGGTATAAATTATATTATTCATAAGCCGAATTCTCCATTTCCCGATGTTGAAATCTAAGGTGTTAGTCGCTTCAAGTCAAGAGTCAACCCATGGAATTCAGAATTGATTACCTGAGTACGAAAACTGCAGAAAGAGATCAAGATATATTCTTATACATCAAGGAGTATTCAAGAGTTAAGTAGATATCAGACGAGAGTGTAGGTGGGTAGACTGGGGAGATTGTTCAAACGACACAGAAGGGAATGCGGGCACACTTCAGTACAAAAGTTAGACAACTAGAGCCAAGCAATGAATAAAACTATAATATACTCATGATTCGTCCTTCTAGGACTCGCCATTGATGCTGTTAACCTAATTGTTTAACCTATGAGGCGACTGAGGAAAATCGTGATCGAAAGAAATGTCGAAATCTGCATGGGGAAGTGACTTAGCCCAGTAATTCAATTCAATTCGTTATTTTCACATATCAAATAATTTTAGAAGGATGTTAAGTACATGTGTATATTCTGAACCTTACCACGGATCGAATGAATTTAAACGTGGCATATAGGTTACAGGACAACCGGAGGACTAATCTCGATGATTGTACAATGAAGACACGAGTGAATAGCACATTTTAATACAACTTTGGATTTAAGCACAACAGAGCCAAACGATGGACAGAACTGCACCATACTGCTGTTTCGTACTTCTAGGACTCGTCATTAATGCTAAGGGCCTAAACTTTGAAGCCTAAGAGTCGACTAAGAAAAATCCAAAGTGACAGGAAGAAAAGTCAAAATCTAGATGAGGTGGTTTGCTAGTCCTTTAAGTCAATAAACGTAGCTCCCTCTTACGTCAAGAATAGTACAGTGTGGCATACTGTCTATCCCAGGTTAATACTCAGACGTTTTAGAGTTGATAAAAAATTTAATGATTATAAAGTTTAATTATATCCGAGTTTCCGGACAAGAAATATCTTATATACACATGTTATGTACTGCAGACCTGTAAAGCTATCGATATGTGTGACGTGTTTACAACTAGACATTAAGTAATGACTCCCCGTTAAGTAAATATATCGACCATTAAACCTGAATACAAGCGAGGTTTCATCTCCGACCTGAATCGCAGAACTAGGGAACGAAAATGAGAGACGACTCCGAAATGATAAATAAAATAACACTTTTCAACATGTGAATAACTTGGGAAACAATGCCCAAAAAATAAAAATATGTAGATATTCACCTTTTTATCTTTGTATCGATACCGTAATTCGATTTTTCGATGGGAAAACCTTATGCAGTTCAACTGGGAATATAGTGCTGGATGATGTCGTGAAGGCACAGAACATGATAATTATGTCTACGTTAACGACAAAACTGACATTGACGATCCGAATTTAAATACAAGAAAAAGTGAAACATCTCCGATATTCCGATTGAAATAGATGGCGTAATTGACATAATTTGCTCCTTTAAAAGTTGATGAAGTTGAATAACAAAACAAAAAGTAAAATTTCTTTATAGATAACATCAGTTTTTTTCTCCTTCATCAAAGATTTTTCTTCTTCCTTGGAAGATGTGTATTTCCACATTGATTAAAGGAGTCATGTCTTTGTCATTCCATGTTACAAAACAAAAGAAAACCCACAAATCAATGTACTACTGTAGGTAGTGAGGTGAACTGACCCCACAAATCAATGTACTACTGTAGATAGTGAGGTGAACTGACCCCACAAATCAATGTACTACTGTAGATAGTGAGGTGAACTGACCCCACAAATCAATGTACTACTGTAGATAGTGAGGTGAACTGACCCCACAAATCAATGTACTACTGTAGATAGTGAGGTGACCCCACAAATCAATGTACTACTGTAGGTAGTGAGGTGAACTGACCCCACAAATCAATGTACTACTGTAGATAGTGAGGTGAACTGACCCCACAAATCAATGTACTACTGTAGTGAGGTGAACTGACCCCACAAATCAATATACTACTGTAGGTAGTGAGATGAACTGACCCCACAAATCAATGTACTACTGTAGTGAAGTGAACTGACCCCACAAATCAATGTACTACTGTAGATAGTGAGGTGAACTGACCCCACAAATCAATATACTACTGTAGATAGTGAGGTTCATGTATCGACAGGAGACAACGATATACAGGATGTACATCTCGATGGTTATAAGATTATTCAAAAAGCAACATACAAATTTAGAACCACATACAATAGGGCTAAATATTGAATTAACTGCGTTGCACAACTATTTCGTCCTTCTAGGACTCGTCAGTGATGCTACATCATACAATTGTTTCGTCCTTCTACGACTTGTCAGTGATGCTAGGGGCCTAAATTTTTGAAGACTTTGTGTCTAAAGATCTATGGTCAGAGGATTTGGGAAAACTGTAAATATTTACAAGTCCAGCTTCATGTACAGTTTTATTAGCTTTGACTTAAGATTACAAGTTTCTTAACCAAAAATAATTTCTATACAAAGGTTATGAACCGCGAATTATTTGACCGGCAAAGTAAACTTGCTCGAGACATGATAGATTGTTATACAGAAAGTGATGATAGCAATGGAAGCCTATTCGTGATAACAAATATGATTTGTAGATCTAAAAATGCCTATTTTAACAACGAGATATACAGAACTATATTGAAAAGCATTTTGTGAATATACAAGAACGAACTCATAAAAGTACTCGAATTTCTGGTTGACAACTTCTCCGTTGAGTGCCCCACTCTTGGCTGGCTTGTATTTGTTTTCATACGAGGCTGCTATCTCATCAAAACATGTCACAAAGGCCGTGCCAAATATTTCTTCTTACCTCAATACCAAAGTTCGTTTGAAATTATTCGGTACCAGGATATTCGTAAAGCCACAGCATTTAATGCCAAATCAGAAGCAATATACCTTAGAGCATAGAATATTTTTGGTGAATAAAAAATATGTCTGGTATAACAAGATGTATCTGTAACTTGACAATAACATAGTAAAAGTGGGATGCACATCCCAGCAACCTTTGCAGTACATTCAAATAAAGAAGATAAATCTAAAAACTTTAATTTCAGAAAAGTTGCATATACCAAAATTATATTTCATCCCGATTTCTCCACAAGTCTAGTTCATCCAGCTGTTTGATCATTTCGTAAATGTCCCAGGCTTTGGTTGATATAGACTATTTGTTATTTCTCCACTGGGGTACTGCTTTCGGTTTCCGGACCGTCAAGCACATGGGAAGGGAGATAACTCTGCACAGTATCAGGTTTTAATTTCAAAATTCTAGTTGTTAAAGAGCTTTGCTCGGACGCCTTCGGTTCCCTGCATCTACACTCTAATTATTCATATCGAGATAATCGATACGTTTACTTGTACCTATCATTTTTTCACAAAAACTTGTACATTTGAGCAAGTATATTAAGATATTGTGTAGATGTGAGATGTTTTGACCCGACAAATGATATACTATACATAATTACAATGTGAAGAGACATTTAAATCATCTTTAGAGTTGTAATGTACCACGATGTATTTGCTCGCAAAAGTAAACGGAATCATTAATAAAATACTTTGCTCTCAGAGCATTTTTGTTGGCGTGTCAATGACACTCAAATGGCGCTAGCTATAAGGTATACGTTTAATTTATTACACACAAGAAAAAATTCTTATTAATATCTCAAAAAAAAAAATTTCCGCGTCTGTAAATTTTGTAATTATCACTCTTAGTCATCCGCATCTGTTATCATAAAAATCCAGAATATATTAAGTAGGTAACAGGACCTGAGGTATTTAATGTGTCACGGTTGGACCCGGCGTAATTAAGTTGGTGTTAATATAAAATCAGTCACATAACAAGCCAACAACATCATTATAGTGCAGCTAGTGACGGAAAGAGCACTTTCTACAATGTCTGCCACTGACCTGGTAAGTTTGTCGTTTTAGTTTATTTCATACTTACTTAACAATGTAAATCGTTTATATTTTAAGTAGAGCCAACTTGTAGTGATTGCAACTGGATATAAACACACATTACATAAATAAAATTGGTGTTGTATTGTTTAACGTCATATGTACACCAACAGGAAATTACGTACAAAAACATTGACAATGCTGCATGTAAAATACCAGGTATGTGTGTTTACGGTGTCACACGTGTCTGTATACTGTGGGTGTTTGCGTTTTCATAGTGTTGCACGTGTCTGTATACTGTGGGTGTACGCGTCTTCATAGTGTTGCACGTGTCTGTATACTGTGGGTGTACGCGTCTTCATAGTGTTACACGTGTCTATATACTGTGGGTGTACGCATTTTCATAGTGTTGCACGTGTCTGTATTCTGTGGGTGTACGCATTTTCATAGTGTTACACGTGTCTGTATACTGTGGGTGTACGTATTTTCATAGCGTTGCACGTGTCTGTATACAGTGGATGTACGCATTTTCATAGTGTTACACGTGTCTGTATACAGTAGGTGTACGCATTTTCATAGTGTTGCACGTGTCTGTATATTGTAGGTGTGCGCATCATCATAGTTTGGCACGTGTCTGTATTCTGTGGGTGTACGCGTCTTCGTAGTGTTGCACGTGTCTGTATACTGTGGGTGTAAGTGTCTTCATAGTGTTACACGTGTCTGTATACTGTGGGTGTATGCGTCTTCATAGTGTTCCACGTGTTTATATACTGTGGGTGTACGCGTCTTCATAATGTTGCACGTGTCTGTATACTGTGGGTGTAAGCGTCTTCATAGTGTTTCACGTGTCTGTATACTGTGGGTGTAAGCGTCTTCATAGTGTTTCACGTGTCTGTATACTGTGGGTGTTTGCGTTTTCATAGTGTTGCACGTGTCTGTATACTGTGGGTGTACGCGTCTTCATAGTGTTGCACGTGACTGTATACTGTGGTTGTAAGTGTCTTCATAGTGTTACACGTGTTTATATACTGTGGGTGTACGCATTTTATAGTGTTGCACGTGTCTGTATACTTTGGGAGTACGTGTCTTTATATTGTTGCACGTGTCTGTATACTGTGAGTGTACGTGTCTTCGTAGAGTTTCACGTGTCTGTATACTGTGGGTTTACGCGTCTTCATAGCGTTGCACGTGTCTGTATACTGTGGGTTTTCGCGTCTTCATAGCGTTGCACGTGTCTGTATACTGTGGGTGTACGCGTCTTCATAGTGTTGCATGTGTCTGTATACTGTGGGTGTACGCGTTTTCATAGTGTTTCACGTGTCTGTATACTGTGGGTGTACGCGTTTTCATAGTACGTGTCTGTATACTGTGGGTGTACGCGTTTTCATAGTGTTTCACGTGTCTGTATACTGTGGGTGTACGCGTTTTCATAGTGTTTCACGTGTCTGTATACTGTGGGTGTACGCGTTTTCATAGTGTTTCACGTGTCTGTATACTGTGGGTGTACGCGTTTTCATAGTGTTGCACGTGTCTGTATACTATATTTGTATGTGTGTTTATAACCTTACATTCACTCTACAATGAGACTTACGGCACATCAAGCCTGACATCCTCACCCTAATGGCCAAGAATGCTAAAATGAACTGGCCCAAAAAGGGTTCCACAGCGCAATTTCAGCTAAACCTGACTACTGAATTATTATCCATGAAAGGTAAACTGACAACATTCCCTTTTTACCAGACATTAGACACTATCATTAATCAAGGTTAAAAGAATGCTAATTAGTATAAGGAAATGAACTATTTACACAGCGTATGTGATTAAAACATCGTGTCAAAAATTTAACATTACTGAGAATAAAGGGACAGAGTTATAGCTTTTTTCAGGATACGAACATATAGACTACATTTCATTGACATATAATGAACCAGTAGTAATTTCTCTTGTGAGCTCATGGCCGCCATAGGGTGCATGATATCACAGCTTTTTCATCTTTCTTCTCCTGAGTCGCTAGTAGCCGAAATAAAAATCACGAAAGGGGTTAGCAAATTAGCTGAATTAAACTTATCATTAAGTCTGTTTACAGACATGATTTGTATTTGTGATTTGCTGATACAAGTGAAATATTCACAAATATGAAACAAATGAAATAAATTGATGTAAAACTCTACTGGTGTTAAACTCAGTCTGCTGGTGTAAACCCCGGTCTGCTGGTGTAAAACTCAGTCTACTGGTGTAAACCCCGGTCTGCTGGTGTAAAACTCAGTCTACTGGTGTAAGCCCGGGTCCGTTGGTATAAACCCTGATCTGCTAGTGTAAACCCCGGTCTGCTGGTGTGAAACTCAGCCTGCTGGTGTAAATCCTGATCTGCTGGTGTAAACCCCGGTCTGCTGGTGTGAAACTCAGTCTAATGGTGTAAACCCCGGTCTGCTGGCGTGAGACTCAGTCTACTGGTGTAAACCATGAACTGCTGGTGTAAACCGCGGTCTGCTGGTGGCAAACTCAGTCTGCTGGTGTAAAACTCAGTCTACGGATGTAACCCCGGTCTGCTTGTGTAAAACTCAGTCTGCTGGTGTAAAACTCAGTCTGCTGGTGTCAAACGCATCCTGCTGGTGTAAAACTCAGCCTGCTGGTGTAAGCCTGGGTCCGTTGGTGTGAAACTCAGTCTACTGGTGTTAAACTTTGTCTGCTGGTGTAAACCCCGGGCTGCTGGTGTAAAACTATGTGTGTTGATATAAACATCTGTGTCGCTATATACATTTTTTGGTGTTTAACACCAAGTGTCAGTGTAAAAATTTGTGTGTTGGTGTAGAACTCTGTGTGTTGGTGTAAACATCTGTGTGTTGGTGTAGAACTCTGTGTGTTGGTGTAAAAATCTGTGTGTTGGTGTAGAACTCTGTGTGTTGGTGTAGACATCTGTGTGTTGGTGTAGAACACTGTGTGTTGGTGTAGAACTCTGTGTGTTGGTATAGAACTCTGTGTGTTGGTGTAGAACTCTGTGTGTTGGTGTAGAACACTGTGTGTTGGTGTAGAAATCTGTGTGTTGGTGTAGAAATCTGTGTGTTGGTGTAGAAATCTGTGTGTTGGTGTAAACATCTGTGTGTTGGTGTAGAACTCTGTGTGTTTGTGTAAAAATCTGTGTGTTGGTGTAAAAATCTGTGTGTTGGTGTAAAAATCTGTGTGTTGGTGTAGACCTCTGTGTGTTGGTTTAGAACACTGTGTGTTGGTGTTGAACACTGTGTGTTGGTGTAGAAATCTGTGTGTTGGTTTGAACTCTGTGTGTTTGCGTAGAACACTGTGTGTTGGTTTAGAACACTGTGTGTTGGTGTAGAACTCTGTGTGTTGGTGTAAACATCTGTGTGTTGGTGTGAAACACTGTGTGTTGGTTTAAACTCTGTGTGTTGATGAAGAACTATGTGTGTTGGTGTATTACTCTTTGTGTTGGTGTAGACCTCTGTGTATTGGTGTAGAACACTGTGTGTTGGTGCAGAACTCTGTGTGTTGGTGTAGAACACTGTGTGTTGGTGTATACCTCTGTGTGTTGGTTTAGAACACTGTGTGTTGGTGTTGAACACTGTGTGTTGGTGTAGAAATCTGTGTGTTGGTTTGAACTCTGTGTGTTGGTATAACACTGTGTGTTGGTTTAGAACACTGTGTGTTGGTGTGTGTGTGTTGGTGTAAACATCTGTGTGTTGGTGTGAAACACTGTGTGTTGGTTTAAACTCTGTGTGTTGATGAAGAACTATGTGTGTTGGTGTAGAACTCTGTGTGTTGGTGTAGTACTCTTTGTGTTGGTGTAGACCTCTGTGTATTGGTGTAGAACACTGTGTATTGGTGTAGAACTCTGTGTGTTGGTGTAGAACACTGTGTGTTGGTGTATACCTCTGTGTGTTGGTGTAGAACTCTGTGTGTTGGCGTAGAACACTGTGTGTTGGTTTAGAACACTGTGTGTTGGTGAAGAAATCTGTGTGTTGGTATATAATTGTATGTTGGTATATGATTGTGTGTTGGTATATAATTGTATGTTGTGTGTTGGTATATAATTGTGTGTTGATATATAATTGTATGTTGGTATATAGTTGTGTGTTGTGTGTTGCTATATAATTGTGTGTTGGTATATAATTGTATGTTGTGTGTTGGTATATAATTGTGTGTTGATATATAATTGTGTGTTGATATATAATTGTATGTTGGTATATAGTTGTGTGTTGTGTGTTGCTATATAATTGTGTGTTGGTATATAATTGTATGTTGTGTGTTGGTATATAATTGTGTGTTGATATATAATTGTATGTTGGTATATAATTGTATGTTGGTATATAATTGTATGTTGGTATATAATTGTGTGTTGTGTGTTGGTATATAATTGTGTGTTGATATATAATTGTATGTTGGTATATAACTGTATGTTGTGTGTTGGTATATAATTGTGTGTTGATATATAATTGTATGTTGGTATATAACTGTATGTTGGTATATAACTGTATGTTGGTATATAATTGTGTGTTGGTATATAATTGTATGTTGGTATATAATTGTGTGTTGGTATATAATTGTGTGTTGGTATATAATTGTGTGTTGGTATATAATTGTATGTTGGTATATAATTGTGTGTTGTGTGTTGGTGTGTAATTGTGTGTTGATATATAATTGTGTGTTGATATATAATTGTGTGTTGGTATATAACTGTATGTTGGTATATAACTGTATGTTGGTATATAATTGTGTGTTGGTATATAATTGTATGTTGGTATATAATTGTGTGTTGTGTGTTGGTATATAATTGTGTGTTGATATATAATTGTATGTTGGTATGTAAATGGTATATAATTGTGTGTTGTTATATAATTGTATGTTGGTATGTAACTGTATTGTTGGTATATAACTGTATGTTGGTATATAATTGTGTGTTGGTATATAATTGTGTGTTGGTATATAATTGTGTGTTGGTATATAATTGTGTGTTGTGTGTTGGTATGTAATTGTGTGTTGGTATATAATTGTATGTTGGTATATAATTGTGTGTTGTGTGTTGGTATGTAATTGTGTGTTGGTATATAATTTTGTGTTGGTATATAATTGTGTGTTGGTATATAATTGTGTGTTGGTATATAATTTTGTGTTGGTATATAATTGTGTGTTGGTATATAATTGTATGTTGGTATATAGTTGTGTGTTGTGTGTTGCTATATAATTGTGTGTTGGTATATAATTGTATGTTGTGTGTTGGTATATAATTGTGTGTTGATATATAATTGTATGTTGGTATATAGTTGTGTGTTGTGTGTTGCTATATAATTGTGTGTTGGTATATAATTGTATGTTGTGTGTTGGTATATAATTGTGTGTTGGTATATAATTGTATGTTGGTATATAATTGTGTGTTGTGTGTTGGTATGTAATTGTGTGTTGATATATAATTGTGTGTTGGTATATAATTGTATGTTGGTATATAATTGTGTGTTGTGTGTTGGTATATAATTGTGTGTTGATATATAATTGTATGTTGGTATATAATTGTGTGTTGTGTGTTGGTATATAATTGTGTGTTGATATATAATTGTATGTTGGTATATAACTGTATGTTGGTATATAACTGTATGTTGGTATATAATTGTGTGTTGGTATATAATTGTATGTTGGTATATAATTGTGTGTTGGTATATAATTGTATGTTGGTATATAATTGTATGTTGTGTGTTGGTGTGTAATTGTGTGTTGATATATAATTGTGTGTTGATATATAATTGTGTGTTGGTATATAACTGTATGTTGGTATATAACTGTATGTTGGTATATAATTGTGTGTTGGTATATAATTGTGTGTTGGTATATAATTGTATGTTGTGTGTTGGTATGTAATTGTGTGTTGGTATATAATTGTATGTTGGTATGTAATTGTGTGTTGATATATAATTGTGTGTTGATATATAATTGTGTGTTGGTATATAACTGTATGTTGGTATATAACTGTATGTTGGTATATAATTGTGTGTTGGTATATAATTGTATGTTGGTATATAATTGTGTGTTGGTATATAATTGTGTGTTGTGTGTTGGTATGTAATTGTGTGTTGGTATATAATTGTATGTTGGTATATAATTGTGTGTTGTGTGTTGGTATGTAATTGTGTGTTGGTATATAATTTTGTGTTGGTATATAATTGTGTGTTGGTATATAATTGTGTGTTGGTATATAATTTTGTGTTGGTATATAATTTTGTGTTGGTATATAATTGTGTGTTGGTATATAATTGTATGTTGGTATATAATTGTGTGTTGTGTGATGGTATGTAATTGTGTGTTGGTATATAATTTTGTGTTGGTATATAATGCTGTCTGTCTTCATGTTTATGTTTTAACCATGTGACCTTGACCGTGACTTTTGACATATATTTGAAAGTAAAAAACAAAAACATTACCACAATGAATACATATTTGTTTCACAAAGCGTGCATGCAATTAACACGTACCTTACACAGTACAGTTTTAATGTCCCACTTCAGATTTTTTTTGTTTCATAAACACATTTTGTTTCTTAGAAAGGCAACAAACTCAAATTAATTGCTGAGGAAGTCTGCTCTAGTTCCATAACTCCTACAGAGGGTTCAATACTTTAGTAAACACCGACTAGTTAGATATCTTACTTTACCGTGCTACTTCATTATTAGTTATAATCCGTATACCTTGATCGAAACATTGCGTTGTGGATACTTAGGGAAAAGGCTCAACTGAGGTGGTGCAGAATTTTGATATTTTGCTTTCATCTTTTGTCAAAAAGGCATTGATAAACATGTGATTCAAATTGGCCCGATAGACTGGACTGCGCATGTGACAAAAACCAACCCCACGCTTACCGCAATACCTAGTTTCATCGCTCTCGAGTTTTTTCCAGTATTCATGACCACAGTACCAGCTTCATACTGATGTCTTGCACTCATAGTGCTTATGCTAGTGTCAACTTTATGGTCATGATTTAATTCGATCTTTTCCTAACAAGGTGATACAAGTAGAAGACCTTGTAATGAAAACGGGATTGTGAGATTCTTCAAGCGTCAGGGAAAGTTGACTTTCGGTTCCTATCACTAATTCTGTAGATCGCGTGGTGAAATAAAGCTAGATGACAAATGGTCTAGTTCGAGAATATCTAATTACGTACGTAAGTTTTCTGTGTAGAACATGGCTGTCTATACTACATACCTTTGTGTCCTCTACATGTCTACCTGTGTAAAGATGTACATAAATTCATCTCACTGTGCTAACATACGGTTCCATTTATGACTAAAAGTTAATAATCTGGCATTCAAATGAGAAAGAAACTTTTAATAATACTTTGCCTGTTTTCGGCATTGTAAGAATATCAGTCAGGACATGAGTTTTTTCTTGGAATTGTTGATAAAGTCGCTATCTGTATTCTGAAAGTACTGAAGTCGCTATCTGTATTTTGATAGTACTTAAGTTAGTATCTGTTCTCTGATAGTGCTTAAGTCGTAATGTGTTCTCTGTTAGTGCTTAAGTCGGTATGTATACTCTGATAGTGCTTAAATCGGTATGTGTTTTCTGTTAGTGCTTAAGTCGGTATGTATTCTCTGATAGTGCTTAAGTCGGAATGTGTTCTCTGTTAGTGCTAAGTCGGTATGTGTTCTCTGTTAGTGCTTAAGTCAGCAGTATGTGTTCTCTGTTAGTGCTTAATTCGGTATGTGTTCTCTGTTAGTGCTTAAGTCGGTATGTGTTCTCTGTTAGTGCTTAAGTCGGAATGTGTTCTCTGTTAGTGCTTAAGTCGGAATGTGTTCTCTGTTAGTGCTTAAGTCGGTATGTGCTCTCTGTTAGTGCTTAAGTCGGTATGTGTTCTCTGTTAGTGCTGAAGTCGGTATGTGTTCTCTGTTAGTGCTTAAGTCGGAATGTGTTCTCTGTTAGTGCTTAAGTCGGTATGTGTTCTCTGTTAGTGCTTAAGTCGGTATGTGTTCTCTGTTAGTGCTTAAGTCGGTATGTGTTCTCTGTTAGTGCTGAAGTCGGTATGTGTTCTCTGTTAGTGCTTAAGTCGGTATGTGTTCTCTGTTAGTGCTTAAGTCAGCAGTATGTGTTCTCTGTTAGTGCTTAAGTCGGTATGTGTTCTCTGTTAGTGCTGAAGTCGGTATGTGTTCTCTGTTAGTGCTTAAGTCGGTATGTGTTCTCTGTTAGTGCTTTAGTCGGTATGTGTACTCTATTAGAGCTCAATTCACTATCTGCACTCTTATAGTGCTTAATACCCTATTTGTACTCTGATAGCGCTTAAATAAGTCTCTATCAGACACCGTTCCCATCAAAATACTTCATTCTTTGCCTTCAACAGGTAGGAAGGAACGCTTGGTAATAGTTTGTGAATTTTTCATATACAATAAATTGGACATTAATCTTATGCGTCACGTACTATAGGTAAGTCTGATTGTAACTTAGATATGGCTGAGAATACAGATACGGAATATCCCTCTGTCCTTTCATTAATATGTCTATATTGTTCTTTTGTTAATGTTTTGACTTCGTTTCATCGATGTTGAGTTTGAGTTAAAATTGTGTTGGCATGTCGGTATTTTTTTACACAAATATCTTTGAATTTTCATTTTTTAAAACGTTTATTTCATTTAAGAACTTGTTTTTCCGGGAGCTTATGAGAGATGTAATTTCTTAAACAATTTACTATTTCAGCAACGGACAACTTCTTTGATTGGTTACAATACAACCGCAGGCAGAAACTGGTCGTATTATAATGGAAACAAATCTGACCTGACGTACGAGATGGATCCGAACGAAATTATTACGACACAGGCTCGTCATATTCCAATTATTCTGTTCTCAGTTTCCGCTAACCTTTTTATTATTGTGATAATTCTGAGTAACAAGAGCTTACGGACACAAGCATTCTTCCTCGGTGTCCTCAGCATCAGCATCTTTGACCTGTTAAATGGCGCATTTGTACTGCCAATGAAAATGGAACACGTGTTCCATTGGGTTGACAGCTGGCGCCATGGACAAAATGTTTGCACTGCTTTTCAAATAATCTCGATTAGCAAGGCGCTCCTTTCTTCTCTAATGAACATCGCTGTATGTGGAGAAAGACTGCTTGCCAAACTTACATATGTCGCCGCCATCAGCAAGAAAATGGCATCCACCTTTGCTGGGGTACTAATTTTCCTACCCTGGGGTATCGGTTCGCTGGTATGTGCACCAATCCTTGTCAGCAACCGGGAGGACGTGTCACAACACTTCGGAAATATGGATAAGTTTTGTGTGTTTGTGTTGGAGGAAGCTTCTCACATCCCTATCATCGTTACCATGTATTTGGTTCCATTCGGGCTGCTTTTGCTAGTACCTGCAGTAATGTTGGTTGTGTACAAGTACAAACACCTTCGCTGGCATCGTTTATCGACGGAGACTGTAGAACCGGAAGCTGTCAAACTGTATATGTCCACTTTGAGTGCGTGGATTGCAAGTGTTGTTTATGTTGTTTTGCACTGTCCTCTAGCGGTTTTGGTATCTCTTTTCGTTATGTGTACAAAAGGAAAAGTCGATTGTCCAGACATACTCGCTTATGTGAACGCGACCACCGTCGCTACCATTTCAAGCGCCGTGACGCCTTTTGTTTGGATAATTACGGTAGAAATCCGCGCAGTTTTGTCATCCATCAAAGCAAGCATTACTCGGTTTGCGTTCCCGACTGATGGACGAAAGAGTGTTCTATCGTTCTCTTCTCTTCGAAACAAAATGTCCTCTGACGACACTGTTGTCCTATCTTAGTAAGAGCTGTTTCGGTTACTGGCCATGTTTTTGTAATTGTGATGTTTTGGAAACAAGAGCTGTTCGGAACTTTTGTCCACCGTGACGGTAGCACACAAAGTATCATAGATACTGATGACGTTCCAGGGAAGAATAGGTATGATATGTACGGATCCAGATTGTGAATGTAATTATTCTGGCAGTGAAATTTTGGTGAACGCTCAGGATGTACAGATTTCAGATTCGATTATTGGTAAAAGTCGCGCACTTAGGACAGCAAGAACACGATCAGACATCGTTTTAATGATTTTAAGAATGAGATGAAGTTCAGTATGTGATAAATTTTTGTGTAAATTTTTGCCTTCCTGAATATCTATAAAATTGTAAGATGCGTAGATATATTCATATGTATACATAAGTTTCATTTTGTTTGTATTTCATCTAAAACACGACACTGAATGAGAAACATGCGCCGTAATTTCTAAGATTCATCAACACAAATGGACGTTAACATAGTTTTTGGAGATATGTAATTACTCGAGTGTAATTGTACCTTAAGACATGTAACTACCCGAGTGTTTCCGTACCTTTAGACATGTAATTACTCGAGTGTCCGAGTACCTTTAGACATTTAATTACCCGATTGTTTCAGTACCTTTAGACATGTAATTACCCGATTGTCCCAGTACCTTTAGACATGTAATTACCCGATTGTTTTAGTACCTTTAGACATGTAATTACCCGAGTGTCCCAGTACCTTTAGACATGTAATTACCCGAGTGTCCTAGTACCTTTAGACATGTAATTACCCGAGTGTCCAATACCTTTAGACATGTAATTACCCGATTGTCCCAGTACCTTTAGACATGTAATTACCCGATTGTTTTAGTACCTTTAGACATGTAATTACCCGAGTGTCCTAGTACCTTTAGACATGTAATTACCCGAGTGTCCCAGTACCTTTAGACATGTAATTACCCGAGTGTCCCAGTACCTTTAGACATGTAATTACCCGAGTGTCCTAGTACCTTTAGACATGTAATTACCCGAGTGTCCCAGTACCTTTAGACATGTAATTACCCGAGTGTCCCAGTACCTTTAGACATGTAATTACCCGAGTGTCCCAGTACCTTTAGACATGTAATTACCCGAATGTTTCAGTATCATTAGACATGTTATTGCTTAAGTTTACCGGTACCTGGAACTACAGACATTTAATTGTGTTTTAAAGATAATTGCACGTACATTTTCATTGAGTCACAAGGGAAAAACATAAACGATATGCTATAACCACCGCACCATTGTACAATCATATTTTTCAGCTGCTATCTGTTCTCATATATATGGTCGCTGAAAATCATCTATCTAGACTATTTTCAATATAACCTTAACACACCAAACACATTTTTACAGGAAATATGTTTTACGCCGTCAACAACAATATCTGCCCTGACCCCTGACAAGCAGCCATTTTAGGTTAATGAGCAGGGAGTGATGATGGACTTGATAAAACAGGTGAAAACTTTAGGGCATGGTTATGAAGAGTCTTCCTCCGTGTCTCTGCCTTGTCGTTCCAATGACATGTATCATTATTTTCATCTTTTTATCTTAAACGTTTGTTGTGGTACAACAAAACATGCTGTTCCAGCGCCTTGTGTTATCATCAACAAGAAAAAACTTATGTAATATCTTGGTTTTGTGTTACTGAAATTAATAACTGAGAATTCGTTTTCTTCAATATTATCCTTAAAATCGATTATACAATCAGACACTTTAGTACGATTAAGGACAACTGGATCTTCTTCAAATTAACGAATCGGACGTAAAATAGAAACAGATTGATTTACATGAAATCTGTATATAGAAAATAGCGATCACATGGTCGTTTGGCAACAGCCGATAAGACTGTGTAGAGTGGCGGAGGCTGAAGATTAATCACGTGATAATATATGTAATCAGTCGTCTTAAATTACTTAATTAATCTATTAGGTATAATATTAATGATGAAATGTTGTGATATCGGATATGTTAGTTCTTATCATACCAATCATGTAAACTACACTAATGAATTAATTAAAACCTCTTCTCTATCTTAAACGATACACACAAAATGTAAATGTTCGACGGAACATTGCTTCACAAACCACAATATACTGATTCACAAACCAAAATATACTGCTTCACAAACCAATATACTGCTTCACAAACCACAATATACTGCTTCACAAACCACAATATACTCCTTCACAAACAACAATATACTGCTTCACAAACCACAATATACTGCTTCACAAACCACAATATACTGCTTCACAAACCACAATATACTGCTTCACAAACCACAAACACTGCTTCACAAACCACAATATACTGCTTCACAAACCACAATATACTGCTTCACAAACCACAATATACTGCTTCACAAACCACAATATACTGCTTCACAAACCACAAACACTGCTTCACAAACCACAATATACTGCTTCACAAACCACAATATACTGCTTCACAAACCACAATATACTGCTTCACAAACCACAATATACTGCTTCACAAACCACAATATACTGCTTCACAAACCACAAACACTGCTTCACAAACCACAATATACTGCTTCACAAACCACAATATACTGCTTCACAAACCACAATATACTGCTTCACAAACCACAATATACTGCTTCACAAACCACAATACACTGCTTCACAAACCACAATATACTGCTTCACAAACCAATATACTGCTTCACAAACCACAATATACTGCTTCACAAACCACAATACACTGCTTCACAAACCACAATACACTGCTTCACAAACCACAATATACTGCTTCACAAACCACAATATACTGCTTCACAAACCACAATATACTGCTTCACAAACCACAATATACTGCTTCACAAACCACAATATACTGCTTCACAAACCACAATATACTGCTTCACAAACCACAATATACTGCTTCACAAACCACAATATACTGCTTCACAAACCAAAATATACTGCTTCACAAACCACAATATACTGCTTCACAAACCAATATACTGCTTCACAAACCACAATATACTGCTTCACAAACCTCAATATACTCTTTCACAAACCACAATATACTGCTTCACAAACCACAATATACTGCTTCACAAACCACAATATACTGCTTCACAAACCACAATATACTGCTTCACAAACCACAATATACTGCTTCACAAACCACAATATACCAATATACTGCTTCACAAACCACAATATACTGCTTCACAAACCACAAACACTGCTTCACAAACCTCAATATACTGCTTCACAAACCACAAACACTGCTTCACAAACCACAACATACTGCTTCACAAACCACAATATACTGCTTCACAAACCACAATATACTGCTTCACAAACCACAATATACTGCTTCACAAACCACAATACACTGCTTCACAAACCACAATACACTGCTTCACAAACCACAATATACTGCTTCACAAACCACAATATACTGCTTCACAAACCACAATATACTGCTTCACAAACCACAATATACTGCTTCACAAACCACAATATACTGATTCACAAACCACAATATACTGCTTCACAAACCACAATATACTGCTTCACAAACCACAATATACTGCTTCACAAACCACAATATACTGCTTCACAAACCACAATATACTGCTTCACAAACCACAATATACTGCTTCACAAACAACAATATACTGCTTCACAAACCACAATATACTGCTTCACAAACCACAATATACTGCTTCACAAACCACAATATACTGCTTCACAAACCACAATATACTGATTCACAAACCACAATATACTGCTTCACAAACCACAATATACTGCTTCACAAACCACAATATACTGCTTCACAAACCACAATATACTGCTTCACAAACCACAATATACTGCTTCACAAACCACAATATACTGCTTCACAAACCACAATATACTGCTTCACAAACCACAATATACTGCTTCACAAACCACAATATACTGCTTCACAAACCACAATATACTGCTTCACAAACCACAATATACTGCTTCACAAACCACAATACACTGCTTCACAAACCACAATATACTGCTTCACAAACCACAATATACTGCTTCACAAACCACAATATACTGCTTCACAAACCACAATATACTGCTTCACAAACCACAATATACTGCTTCACAAACCACAATATACTGCTTCACAAACCACAATATACTGCTTCACAAACCACAATATACTGCTTCACAAACCACAACATACTGCTTCACAAACCACAATATACTGCTTCACAAACCAATATACTCAATTTCACAACTCACAGTTACATGTCATAAACGTCCGAGGATTCCCGAGGTATTCCGATTACGAATTGATTATTACAAATCACGGGATAATACCCGGAAGTCGATGATTGTACAAAAGACGGTTAAGTGAAAAGCCCCTTTCACTATAAATTCAGAATTAGATACGGTATGTAGGACAATGAATTAAACTGAATCACACAGCTGTTTCTACCTTCTAGGACCTGTCAGTGATGCTACATCATACAACTGTTTCGACCTTTTAGGACCTGTCAGTGATACTACATCATACAACGGTTTGTAGGACAATCAGTTATGCTAATCACACAGCTGTTTCTACCTTTTAGGACCTGTCAGTGATGCTACATCATACAACTGTTTCGACCTTTTAGGACCTGTCAGTGATGCTACATCATACAACTGTTTCGTCCTTCTAGGACTCGTCAGTAATGCCAAAGGGTTAAACTGATGAAGCCTAGGAGGTGGCTGTGAAAAATCCAAACTGGTCGAAAAATGTCAAAACAGTATTCCAAAACGAACTATCCACTATTTTGGGTGCATCTTACAAAACTTATTTGAAATGGAACTCATTTCACATCCGGTAGGAAGTACACTTGATGCGTAGTGAATGGACAAAGTCACCAAATAAAAACACAGAAAATATTGCAACAAATGTCACTTTGAGTGGTTTTGCTTTTGGCGATAAGATAATGGGCTGTGTTGATGGGAGTTATCTCCCTTCCAAGGTATTGAAATAAGGAAGTTGAATTCGCTATCCCCAGAAACATATCGGCGACAAAAGTCTGGTTCAATATCACCCAATCAAACGTATTGTACTTTAACATTAAAACAGATGTTCAGGGGAACCATTAAAAACGAAGTTAGACCAAGTGTTTCTGTAGAGAAAGCGTCCTCTGCTTCATCAACGACATCCGTTATGTATAGTTTGGTTAGCCGAGTAGATCTCGCTCTCGCAAATGAAAAAAAAAAAGATTCTAATCAGCGCCGAATAAATAACACTTCACGAACCTGGAAATGATTATTTTCAAATGAGATGATGATATTGGCCATAAAACCTTCAT